CAAATCAATGTAGAGAGATGAAGCTGCTGTAACATGTAAACACATTGTTGTTGAGTGTGTTCAGAGTATATAAAGACTGGGTCCCGCTGTATTGCTCAGGCTTCACTACAGCGTCTATTCACAGGCGCGATCCCACTACTGAGCGGCACGGGGGCTTTGACCTGCTCCGTGTCCGACCTGGGCCGGTTCCCCCTCCTTAGACGACCTGGTGGTCCCGGGCTCCCCCAGGAGCACCATACCGATACCGAATTTAGTGCGGATACCCGTTCGGCATAGTCCCTGCAGCTCAGAGCTCCTTAGCTCAAACGCTCCTCCAGCCTCAGCCTCCCGGTAACTGGGATTACAGGCGCGCGCCACCGCACCCGGCGAGAGGACTCTGCACGAGAGAGGGATTGGGGTTTGGAGACGTGACGTCATGTCTTGTTTTGTATCATTCACAATGATATTCTTCCTCTCTTCATCAGTTTCTAGCTTGTTTATCAAATTCATACTTGAGTAAAAGTACAAGTAGAGTGTAGGAATACTCTGTTACAAGTAAAAGTCCTGCATTCAAAAGGTTTCTCAAGTAAAAGTACAAAAGTATTGGCATCAAAATATACTTAAAGTATCAAAAGTAAAAGTATTTATGCAGATTGCGTCTTTTCAGAATATTATAGCCTATCAGTTTCAATTATAATGATTGACATAGCTGTGGGAACATGTTTCAAATGGGGGGTGCTGTGGGGATGACACCAGGGCCGGTTTTGACCAATTTGCTGCCCAAGGCAAGATTTTAGCTGGCAATGGTTTAGCTCTACAAAAGACCACTACACTACAAACAGAGAAACGTATTGATATGGTGGACAGCTTATATAAAAAGGCTTCAAATGTATTTAGTATTGCATGAACATGTTTTAATTGGGGGGTGGACTTCACATCTCTAGGTGGGTCCGGGGGTGCCCCCACGGGAAGATTTTTTTTAACATTTTAAAGTAAAATGCTTCAATCTGGTGCACTTTGAGCGCCCAATTACTAGAGACATGATCAAGGAGATACAACTCTAAAACACCCATATGAAAAAGATCGGTTTGCATTTTAATAATCAAATAAATATGTGAAGTGAACATAACCGATAACCTACCATAGCCAATAACAAATACATGTAGGCTAACTTGTTTTATTTTTGTGGTTCATTTATATCTTATTTTATCAGTTAACATTTATTTATTTATGCATATTTTTAAATCTCTCCAGTTTTAAACAATATTTTTGGTTTACTGTCCTATAGTATACATTGGAATGATTTCAAACCTGTTTTTATTTATCCTAATAATTATAAAGGAGTGCCTTGGAAATATTTGTTTACATAAATTGTGATCAAAACATTTGAGACCCACTGAGACAACTTAGACTAAAGTGAACTATCTAAACACTCAGAGTCCTTTACCTCACTGAGCCTCTCAGTCTGACAGGAGAGCTCTCCCTCCACATTATTGTAGAAACAGCTTCTTATATCCGTTAGCGCAGCAGAAGCTAACAACATTCCCCGCCGGTACCGGTGCACCCCCTCTCTCTATCTCTCTCTCTCTCTCACGCTGGCTTTGAGCTGTGGGCGCCTGATAAGCCAACATCCCCCACTTTCATCACTTACAGCGCCCATCGTACAGTGCAAATTGAAAATGTAACCGGGGTGAAAAGGGTGTTATAGTTACTTAATTATGAATGTTATTACATCAAGGCTGAACATTCTTCTTCTTTTTTTAATTATATTTGTATTTAATCTTGTGGAAGTGCAGATCCCCTGTCCTCCACCAGGGGGTGCTGCAGCACCCTCAGCACCCCTACTTCCCACGGCCCTGATGATTGATGCATTAAATTGTTTATCAAAGCTGGTAAAGGTGCAGCTAAAGTTTTAATTACTTTGTATTCTGTGTATGTGTTACACAATCACAAAATATATATTGTATTCGATGTGTTGTCAGTGGAATGAGACAACTGTAGGAATACTCTGTTACAAGTAAAAGTCCTGCATTCAAAAGGTTTCTCAAGTAAAAGTACAAAAGTATTGGCATCAAAATATAAGTATCAAAAGTAAAAGTACTTATGCAGATTGCGTCTTCTTAGAATATTATGTAGCCTATGTTTCAATTATAATGATTGATGCATTAAAGTGTTTATCAAAACTGGTAAAGGTGCAGCTATAGTTTTAATTACTTTGTATTTTGTGTATGTGTTACACAATCACAAAATATATATTGTATTCGATGTGTTGTCAGTGGAATGAGACAACTGAAGTAAATAGATTAAATGCAAACGTTAAAAAGAAAACAGCTGGGATTGATGCTCCTTGCTGCTCCCCTCCAGGAGGAGGCGCTGCAGGACAAACACACAGAAGTGGTTTGTGAAGGTTTCCATGTGAAGAACCAAATAAATGTAGAGAGATGAAGCTGCTGTAACATTGGTGTTGAGTGTGTGTGTGTTGTCCCAGGTGTGTGTTCAGAGTATATAAAGACTGGGTCCCGCTGTATTGCTCAGGCTTCACTACATCGTCTATTCACAGGCGCGATCCCACTACTGAGCGGCACGGGGGCTTTGACCTGCTCCGTGTCCGACCTGGGCCGGTTCCCCCCTCCTTAGACGACCTGGTGGTCCCGGGCTCCCCCAGGAGCACCATATCGAAACCGAACTTAGTGCGGACACCCGTTCGGCATAGTCGCTGCAGCTCAGAGCTCCTGAGGTGAGCTCAAACGCTCCTCCAGCCTCAGCCTCCCGGTAACTGGGATTACAGGCGCGCGCCACCGCACCCGGCGAGAGGACTCTGTCTGCACGAGAGAGGGATTGGGGTTTGGAGACGTGACGTCATGTCATGTTTTGTATCATACACATTATATTCTTCTTCTCTTCATCATTTTCCAGCTTGTTTATCAAATTCAGCCGATGATTTGTTTTGCTTAAATTATTGGGAAGTTTGATATAAGAACATTTTCAATTAGACAGGTAGTTTATGCCTAAAACTATATTTTGTTGTCCTGAGTCTTTTCCAGTTTTTATCAAGAAAACAAATTATAGGTTTGAATGTTTTATGTAGACTCATTTACTTCTGGTGAAGTCTGACGACTGGCATACATTTATTGCTAAAACTGAAAGTTTCACTTTTAATGCTGTTCATGATTCTTAGTATGCACATCTTGACATTTGTATATTAATAAGAACATGAGTGTGTTTTTTTACATTGTACTTTAGTCCTTGTGAGTTTAAATGTATAGATATCCGTCAGTAGCTTTTCACCAATTTCTCAGTAATACTAATAACATTTAATGGATGGTGGCTAACTGTAAAATAAATTAAATAAAAGATGAGAAATATTAAAGTATCCCTTTTTTGTTTATTTTGTGGATTCAAATGACAGGTCTGACTGCAGAGATTGATGGACTTTATTGAACTTTAAGAAGAAGTTGGTGATGAAGGTGGAGGATGAGGAGGAGGAATAAAGGTCTCTGATGCTCGGCTCTGGATCAGCTGCTGTAGATGGAAGTCTGTGAAGTCCAGGACCTGGAGGAAACCCGAGAAACTGGAGGTAGAGTTTGACGGAGGTTGAAGAGGGAACAGGGTTTTAGCAGTTAGAGGTCCAACAGGCGGGAGGTTTCCAGAAGAGGTTTTAGGTGGAGCATGCGTCTGCAGCTTCCTGCTGTCTGCAGGTGGAGGCTGGGTATGAAGGCAGTTCAGATCTGCAGCTGGAAGAGGGGGGAGAAGTACTCAGATCTTGTACTTGAGTAAAAGTACAAGTAGGAATACTCTGTTACAAGTAAAAGTCCTGCATTCAAAAGGTTTCTCAAGTAAAAGTACAAAAGTATTGGCATCAAAATATAAGTATAAAAAGTAAAAGTATTTATGCAGATTGCGTCTTCTCAGAATATTATATAGCCTATTTTCAATTATAATGATTGATGCATTAAAGTGTTTATCAAAGCTGGTAAATGTGCAGCTATAGTTTTAATTACTTTGTATTTTGTGTATGTGTTACACAATCACAAAATATATATTGTATTCGATGTGTTGTCAGTGGAATGAGACAACTGAAGTAAATAGATTAAATGCAAACGTTAAAAAGAAAACAGCTGGGATTGATGCTCCTTGCTGCTCCCCTCCAGGAGGAGGCGCTGCAGGACAAACACACAGAAGTGGTTTGTGAAGGTTTCCATGTGAAGAACCAAATCAATGTAGAGAGATGAAGCTGCTGTAACATGTAAATACGTTGTTGTTGAGTGTGTGTGTTCAGAGTATACAGAGTGTATAAAGACTGGGTCCCGCTGTATTGCTCAGGCTTCACTACAGCGTCTATTCACAGGCGCGATCCCACTACTGAGCGGCACGGGGGCTTTGACCTGCTCGGTGTCCGACCTGGGCCGGTGCCCCCCTCCTTGGACGACCTGGTGCTCCCCCAGGAGCACCATATCGATACCGAACTAGTGCGGACACCTGTTCGGCAATATAAAATATGTTACATTATTATATATTCAACTAAACCAAACATCATGTAAAATGTAGTCTTTTAATACGTATCTTTGATATTTTAGGACATTTTTATAGTAATTCTTACATAGGCTACTTTTACTGAAATAATATTTTTGGTTGCAGTGCCTTCATTTCGTTGTCATTGCCGGTACTGCTGTGTAACACATTAAAAGGCTCAGCTGGAGCTATTGTAACCTTCAAATACAGATAAGCTAAGTAAGGTCTGAAAAAACAAGTTAAGTTAAGTTAAGCTTCATCGAAATGCAGTTCAAACTTAATTTTTCCAAAAATAAATTCTAACAGTTTTTATCCATAAAGTATTTGTTCTCATTTGTTTCCTATCTTGTTATTCATATTTGAATATATGACTTAAGATAAGAGTTACTTTTGAAGTATCGTTGACCTTCATACTTCAAACATTACAGCTTTGGCTCAATTATAAGTTAGGTTTGATAAAAGCAACACAGCTGGTCTTGAAGACATTAAATAACGCACATAAGCAAAAATAATATACTGCTTTACTTTAATGTTTCCAACATAATGAGTTTGACAGCAGCACAACGAAACACACATCATTAATTATACACCAATAGCATTTATGATCCAGTCCATTGTACGATAGCGAACATAATTAACAAAGGAGCAAACATAAAACATGATTCACATACTCTCATGTGCTTATATTTCTTTGACAAAGTATTTTCACGAGATACATTTAAAGCTCACAATATCCAGTTTATAATAAGTTTATTGAGTTACAATGGACCATATTCACAACAATTCACAGTTAGCAGGTCCCTAACTGAATTAGGACAACAAGAGACAAAACACAAACATTTGAACCGAAAGACACAGTTGGTTCATTTATATTTCATAGTTTCTAAACTTCTGCAGCAGACTAGATGGGGAGTCAGTGGCCCAACGGAAACGCCGATGGCAGTAATCACCTGAGCAAGGAATAGAAAAGTCAGTCAGTTTTACATAGTTTAATACAGTCAGAGCAATACTCTTGGGTGATACATTACAATTAATGGATAGGAACAGTTGAGATACCCAGGCGAGTAAACTCTGCACTCTGGAATGATGCTAAAAAAACTGGATAACATGAATGTAAAGTCAAACTGTTTAAGAATTTCTAGACTATTTGATGTTATTATCCCTCCTTATTTAAAGGTATTACCTACAGTGGAAACAGACAGGATTACCAGTAAGAAACCTAAGCAATATACTGGTGTGGATAGGGGCATCAGGAACAAAATAAATGTTGCCAGCTAAACAAATAAATATCAGTTTAGGTGTATGCTATATTATTATTATAGACAGCCCATTCAGACGGGGATCTAAAGTAGTTATTTAATCTATTCAAAAGCCACCAAACTCCATTCATTTAAAAAAATGCACCTTGCAGGACAGGCAAGTTGCAGGTCTACCCCTAACTTGTTCAGATACTTTGTTTTTTTGCGGGAATTTAGTGGTCACACAACTGTAGATGCAGTAGTACTCCTGTATTGGTAAAATTGCTGTTTTTGAAAATGGAATTTGGCTCTTAAAAAATCATAGATAATTGCTTTAGTTTGTGTCTGTTTTGCTGTTTCACACAGAGGTGAAAATATTCTACATATAAACTAATGCTGATTTTAGGTGGGCCTGCCCTGTCTGTTTCAAGTGGGGGCGTGCTGACAGCCATCTCTATAATACACTGACTCTTGTTAAGTACCTCAACCCCAATCCCTTTGAGCATTATGTGACTACTAAACTAAAAATGCTAAATGCAATGTTGCAAAATATAATTGTTTTGCCCTGCCGATACATTAAAAGAGATAGGGTTTCGATACGTTTCATTAGAGAACATTTCAAAATGCACTCACTTGCGGATGACCTGGCTTCATAAGGAGGGATCCTCTGTTCTTCTGGCTCAGTCTGAAGGTCCTCTGCTTGGGAAGCAACAGGGATTTCTGCATTTGAGGCCTCCAACATTGGTTCCTTCTTACTTCTCACAGCCCAGTGCATTGACTGCAAACACATAACCCAAATGTATTGGTATAGGCTTTCAAAGTTAAACAGATAACACAATACTTTTTTACTCCTCTACAAGAGTCAATACATTACATACAGTTTTCACAGAGTCATTCAGGGCCTGCCAGTCATGAAATGGAATAGCAACTCCACTTCTTCCCCAAATGTCATAGTTTTTTCTTTTGGCTTCATTGCATAAAACCTCTTTGGCTTCCTGGAGCTTTTGAAAATCAGCCACTGTCCAAAAGAAAGAAAACAACAGGTTATGAGATGGAACATTATGCTAACCAATTAGTTATTTTTGCATGCAGATGAAAGAAGCCCTACATTATCATATGTTGCTTTGAAGTCAGAAAGAAGCATTAAAAGGCAGGTTTGTAAGGTAAGTTGTAAGAAATGTAATCAAAATAAAAGTTGTGTTAATCTTTGCTTTGCTTATATAATGATAAAAGTGTGTATGCATATACCTTTTTTTTTTAAATTTGTCAACATTTGAAAATGTCTAGCAGTGTATGTCTAGCATGTACCTGCTGTTGGACTGTCTAGGTGTTTGTCTGGGTGACATGCCAAGGCTCGGATCTTGTACTCATTGAGAATCTGTTCAGTCTGCAAGGGAAAATGTTGAATAAAAAACATGAACTTCTAAATATTTGAAATTGGGGAATAAGTCTATTATTTTATTTTCCAGCGACATTAAGCCCAGAGTAAAAACACATGAATATACACGCATTTTGTCCCCCTTTTCATTTATTTTGATACATTCAAAAAGTATCGATTATTTAATGTAACTCGATATTGTCATTGCAGTTACTCTACTGATAACGCTGTTGTAATCATCACGTTCGCATGGTAAAGAACTACAAATACAGTGACACAGCGTACTCAGACCCTGATGACGCACGAACAGATCCTGTGACATCTTTTGCTGAAGCATCAACAGGTCTGTGTTGAATCAGGCTAACCTCTGGTGCATACATCATTCATGAATCCAAAATATAACAGTTTACAAGTTACTAATCATTTGCGGATTACCATCATTCTTCGGTATCTTTAACTTCTGAACATTTGAACCAGTAGGTTTTGGTTTGTTGATTCAAACATCATAATTTCACCCAGCAAATAGACTGGTCCTTAAAGCCCCTGTCTAGAATTTACCGAAGACAATTCATCGCATCCTAATAACCCGTAGTAATCCTCCAAGTCCTCTGGTTTGCTGTTCAGAATAGCCTCCATAAAAATGTAATAAGAAATGTGAAGATTTGTGTTCTTGTCAGTCACGGAGAAGCTCTGCTCTCTTCGATCACAAATGTTCGGTTCAAGGACTGCTGGTGGGCTCCCCCTCGCTGCTGCTGTGGGTCACACACACTGAGTATATTCTTAAAGTTCAACTTTCTATTACTTTTCAGCTAACTTTGGATAATTAACCAATAAACTGCCAGATGGTTAAAATGGTCAATGAAGATCTATCCTGAGTTGTGTGGAAAAGTGTCCCTTTACCACATGACGTATGCTGCATTCAAGTGTCTAAACGTAAACTCCTCACTCAGCTAGAAATGTCGAATGACGAATAAAAAGAATTTTTTTGTTCAGTATGCAGTCTTCAGTAGGCCTATATGGCACACATTATATGTTACTGTGTGAAAAACTTTGTGGATGTTTTGGATGATTGTGCTATCATAAGTACCACATGGTATACATATGAGTAAAAATGAAAATTGGTGAGGTTGTGATTAAAAAATACACATGTGATACAATAATATAATAATATATTAATAGTAGTAGTATTCATTTATTCAGCCTATCCACATATTCGTGTCCAATTAGCCAAGTATTACTATTAGAATCCGAATATCAGTTTTCAGTTATCCGAATAGTAGTATTACTATCCTAATATCAGTTTCCAATTATTACAAGGACGTTTTAAATCAATTACGCATTTTCCCTCTGCCTTTTTTCATACAGTGTGTGAAGGCAGCAACATTTTGTTATGGTTTTACGTCATCGACGTAAAAGGGGGAAGTTCCAGCCGGATTACTGGTGGAGAATGAGTCACGTGCGCTATGCAAATGAGCCAGCTGTCGGAGAGGAAGGATCTGCTCAGCGGCTCTGCGGGCTGAAGATGGCGGACGAAGAGACTCGTCTCGGAGCGGCCTTTTCGGGCGCCTCAGATATGGAAGAACCTGCCGCTAAAAGGTCGAAAATCAGTACAGTAACTTACCATGGAGTTAATAGCGATAAAGCAGATCAATTATCGTGCGTCTCCGGGGCCACCGAGAGATGGGAGGCGGCGATGGATTGTGCTCAGCCCGCGGAGAAGGAAGCGAAGCCGGTGATGGCGGTAGAGCAGGCCCCAGCAGAGCCAGGCGGAGACAACAATGGCCTGGGACTCAAACCAGCAGTGAAATTAGACGACAGCGCTGTACTGGGAACAACTGAGGAGGATGCTGGTATGTAAAGAGACGGACATTTAACAACGTTTTATGTTTTTACGCGACTCAAAGTTGCCAGAGCTTGTTTTTAGCAACTTAACCGGTGGGTTTGAAACAAATTATAAGTTAGCGTTATTCCCGAAGTTAGTTAATTTAGCTAGCTTACTTAGTAAAGGTGTGTGGGCGTTGACAGCTTTGTACTATGAATTTACTTCTCAAAACGATACGTTTAACTTTTCTTTGTCAAAACTGAAAGAGGAAACTGTATGTGGCACACATTGTTGGTATTTCACGTATTAACTTATTCCTTCACTGTACTTAACTATGATAGCCACTTAGCATTTGTTAGCCGGTTTAACTTGTATATGTTCTATTGACGTTCACTTAGATAGGTTCCCACACTTACGTTGTTGCCATGGGTAATGGTTGTAAATGATCATAGTGGTTATTAGAGATAGACGCCACTTATCTCTAGTTTTAATTTTACAAGCTTCTCCATTCTCAGTTTTCCTCGGACATGACGACCTCCCCTCTAACGGTCTGGCTGTCACACCGGACCACAACAACGAAGACGATGACAGATCGTCTCACGCAAGCTCCAGCGACTGGGCACCGCGACCGCAAATAGGTAACTTAGTTAGGTGCATTTAGGGACAATCTTTGCCTGCAGCTTTGAACAATCATCTAACGTTTTTATTTAGTTGTACAAATAGTAAATCGTTCAAACTACTTTCATACCTCTCATACTGAGATGTTGTATTTCCCGGCCAGGTTCCTACGCATTCATCCAGCAACACATCAGAGAGACAGATCCGAGGACCATTTTGAGAGATTTGCTGCCTGAGACTGAACTCCCAGCCGATTTAGACGACATGACATTGTGGCAGATCATCATCAACATCTCAGAACCTCCGAAAAGAAAAAAACGAAAGGATATTAACACCTTAGAAGATGTGGTCAGGCTACTCCATGAAAGTAAAAGGATCCTTGTGCTGACTGGTGCAGGGGTATGTATTTACAGTATTATAATACAGATGTTCTGTTTGAACTACCTGCTGGACTGAATACATAGTGCCAATGTTCATGATATTAAGTCAGTATGCATGTATGGTTTTCTTGCAGGTGTCGGTGTCATGTGGAATACCAGACTTTCGCTCCAGAGATGGTATTTATGCACGGCTGGCTGTAGATTTCCCTGATCTTCCAGACCCTCAAGCTATGTTTGACATTGAATACTTCAGAAGGGACCCAAGACCCTTTTTCAAGTTTGCTAAGGTTTGTTTATTGCCCCCATCTGCTTTTGTGCAAATCTAAGTTGAAATTAGATTGACGTAATAATATAATAAAATGCGTTTAAAAGTATGTATTGTGTACAAATGAATCATCACGTACATTTTTGCAAGGTGCTACAGAGAGTCTTGTGTTTACATTGTGTTTTAAAATAGTATTCAGAACATTTGAAATACTTTTTATTTAGACAACTTTTTGAGGCCTCATTAAACCCATCCCTTGCATTCATCGGGGGAACTTCTACTACTTTTGCTGCTTTTGTAGTCACTTAACCTTAAAAGTACCAGTTTTCCACCAAGACTAATATCAACCAAACCTAATTGATAACAAACATTTAAGAATATAGCGAGCTTTGATCTCATAATGCATTTTCCTTTTTTTTTGCAGGAGATCTACCCTGGTCAGTTTCAGCCGTCGCCTTGTCACAAATTCATATCTATGATGGATAAGCAGAAGAAGCTGCTGCGCAACTACACCCAAAACATTGATACATTAGAACAAGTGGCTGGAGTTCAGAGGATTATCCAGTGTCACGGTAAGTCTGAACTAATAAACAGATCTTGTTTATATTTATATAGTTTGTCATGTTGAAAGTCACTAATAATCTTTTTTTTCTCAGGGTCGTTTGCAACTGCTTCCTGTCTCGTCTGTAAACACAAAGTGGATTGTGAAGCTGTAAGGGAAGACATCTTTAACCAGGTATTTATTTATGAGGAACTGATCTGATATCACATGTAAACATGCAACAACATTTCATGGTTATTGCATGAAAATACTCTGCAGGCATCTTCCATGTGGAATCTTGCAGGGCTCGAAGAAGTGGATCTGAGTACAGTTCCTTTGTATCAAATCTTGTTTGCTATACTCTTGATGTCGACACTGGTTCCAACACGAGATAAAATAAATACATGTATTATTTTCACTGCAGATTCAACAGGTTAAACAAATAACCAAATGTATTGCTCCACAGCTTGGAAGTCCATCCCTGCAGTAGAAATTGGTTATTTAGATTCAACACAAGTAACTTGATGCTAGAAAAGTTGCCAAGATTAATGGTGGAAACATTTATTAGCTTCTCATGGTCAAATGCAGAAATGTTATGCTCATAAAGAAATGCATTTATTTGTTTTAAAATGTGTATTTTGTTTTGAATGCTATTAACATACATTCATCCTGCAGGTTGTCCCTCATTGTCCACGTTGTCCAGATATTCCCCTGGCAATCATGAAACCCGACATCGTCTTCTTTGGAGAGAATCTTCCAGAAATGTTTCACAGAGCCATGAAGCAGGATAAAGACGAGGTGGACCTCTTGATTGTCATCGGCTCCTCGCTTAAAGTCCGACCAGTTGCCCTTATCCCAAGTATGTCTTGATCTGATGAAAGTTTTCAATTGTGCCTTCAATAAAACCAAACATACAATAAGTAACTGTTTTCTCTTTGTCCCATCCAGACTCCATTCCTCATGAAGTGCCTCAGGTCCTGATCAACAGGGAGCAGCTGCCTCACCTCAACTTTGACGTGGAGCTGCTCGGAGACTGCGACGTCATCGTCAACGAGCTCTGTCACCGGTTGGGTGGAGATTTTGAGCAGCTCTGCTTCAACACTTTAAGACTGACGGAGACCACAGATAAACCCCCGCGGCTACCGGAACAGCCACCAAGTGAGGCCTTGCCTGCTTCCAGCGACGCAGCTCAGGAGGAACAGAAGCAGCACAGTACAGACTCAGTAACTAAGCCTTCAGAGGAGACACACAGTCCGAATGTCGCAGATACTGCCGGTAATAATGTCACACCTCCAGAGCCTTGTCCAAATGCCCAGTGTCCCAGTGAGGAGACGGCTGAGCCTTCAGAGTTACCGGCAGAAGGCGTGCCAAAAGAAGAGGCCGCTGAAGTAAAGAGCCACACCTCCAACCTGGAATTCCGAAGACGATGCTGGATGAGTCGGATCAACAGAAGTCCGATCAGCAAACGCCTTGAGAGTGAGCTAAAGACTACAGCAGAGATTAGACTGCTTACTATAAGTCTATTTTTTCATGTATTAGAAATTGAGACGTATATGTATTTATACATAGGTTTAAATACAACCTAATAATCAGGGTTTACACATCCCAAGTTTTTAGCTCTACTTTGTTGTGGTACATACATAAACACAGAAGGAGGAATTAAGTTGTAAGATAAGTTATAGAATATAAATAACAAAAAGAAAGTTTACAAGAAATATTAGTACATCAAAAAAGTTATAAGGATATGAGAAATGACTTTGGGGAAGAAAATGGATATATGTGCTGTATATTAGAATTAAAAATGGGAATGCGACTGTTATGAAAACAGTTTTATCCCTGAACATGCGGTTAATACTTATATTAACATGTTAATACTTATATTAACATGTTAATACTTATATTAACATGTTCAAATCTTCTCCAGATGTTTATTGCCTCACTTTAAATTGTTCTTGTTATTTCCCTACAGCCGGTCAGTACCTGTTTCAAGCACCAAATCACTATATCTTCCACGGGGCGGAGGTTTACTCTGAATCTGAAGATGAGACATCGAGCTCCTGTGGGAGCGACAGCGATGAGTCTGACTGCAGCGGAGACGGGGGGGAAGAAGACAGCGAGCTGGAGGACGCAGACACACTAGCAGCGGATGGAGAGACACGCCTCGGAGACACAATACAACTCACTTTATCCAACGAGGCCGCGTCGGGCGCGCAGACAGACAATACTCCTGAAAAGACTCAGAGCACCGTACACCTTTAAAATGTAAAGTCGACAAAGCACTAATTGTCTTTTCGTATATTTTTTGAAT